TTCTGCTGAGGATTATCCAAAAATGACTGGAAAATCACATCAGCAGAGAACTGCCTGAAGTGTAGGCTGGATTTAGAAGAAGCTGTGGCATTAGGGATATTACAGCTAATATCAGAGAGATCTTGGATGAAAGCAGAGAGTACCAGAGGAATGTGTTTCATTTAGTATGCAAAGACATTTGACTATGTGGATCACAACAAACTGTGGCTGACTCTTGAGAAAAATGGATATCCCAGAACACTTGATTGTGTTTATGTGAAACCTATACTTGGACCACGAGGCAGTCATCAGAATGGAGCAAGGAAACACTTCATGATTCAAAACTGGGAAGGGTATGCATCATTGATGTATCCTATCTCCATATCTTTTCAATCTATATGTGGAACAGATTATATGGGAGCCTGGGCTGTATGGGGAGAAGCGTAGCATCAGTATTGGAGGTTACCTCATCACCAATCTGTGATGACACAATCCTGCTTGCTGAAACTGAGGAGGACCTGAAGTGCTTGCTGCATAAGATCAAGGACTGCAGCTTTCAATATTGGTTGAAGCTCAATGTCAAGAAAACAAAGATTCTCACCACTGGGTCAATTGACAGCATCATGATAGATGAAGAGATGGAGATTATTGATCCCTTAGGTTTGCTTGGCTCTACAATCAATACTCTTGGTACCAGCAACCAGGAAATTAAAAGACAAATTGCTTTGGGAAAGACCTCTCCAAAGTACTGAAGAGAAACTATGTTAGTCTGGAGACTAAGTTGTGCCTGATACAGGCCATGATCTTTGCAATTACTTGCTATGCATCAAAGAGCTGGACAATGACTAGGGATGAATGGAGGAGAGTTGATGCCTTTGAGCTGTCATGCTGGAGAAGAGTATTGAATGGACTGCTACAAGAACAAACAAGTTCATCCTGCAGAGTGTGAAGCCAGGCTGCCCCTATCAGGCAAGGACTCTGAAGCTTTGTCTGACATACTTTGGAAATTTTGCAAGGCAGGACCAGTCCTTGGAGAGGTACGTCATGCTTGGGAGAGTGGAGGGACAACACAAGAGAGGAAGACCCTCGATGAGATGGACTGATTCAGTCACTGGGGTATGGGGGTAGGTGTATTAGAGACAATAAGATTGGCAAGGGATAGAGCAGAGTTTAGGGCTGTTGTACATAGGGTTACTATGAGTCACAGGCAACTCAACGACATATAAAAACAACAACAGCAATATATGTTAATTATTATTCTTTCCTAGCAAAATATTATCTTTCCAAAGTTGCCATGAGTCAGAATGGACTTGATGGTAGTAACTAAAATAACATACATGCTAACACACATACATGCATGCCTATACACTCATGGGTGTGCTATTAGTTGCCATCAAACAATTCAGACCTATAGTGACTATATAGATATAGTTTTTATTTTTTCGTTGTGTCTTTCCATCATTACCCAAGCCTTGTGGCATAGTACATAAATCCTGTTTATATTTCTGACACCAGTCAGTTATAAATTTTTCTAGAAAAAGTAACTGTCCAACAACCACTCTAATTCAAATGGCCCTGTTGTTTTTGTTATTGTGTGTCCTCGAGTCAGTAAGTTCATAGCTGACCCTCCAAAAGATTTTCAGAGGCAGCAAATCACACAGGAAGAGATTGCTCATCTTTCTCCTGTGAAGCAACTGGTGAATTCAACCCACATGCCTTGGGATTACAGTGCAGCTTCTGACCACTAGGCCAACAGAGCTCCTTGAAGTGTCCTTTGTTGTTGTTGTCATATGCACCAGGTTGCTTGCAACTCATAGCCACCCTGTATATAACAGTTCTGATCTTGATCCAGCTCTATCTTGATCCACCTTCACAGTCCCTGACACATCTACCCCCATTACTTCAGTCATGGAGTCAATCCACCTCATCTAGGGTTATCTTCTCTTGCACTGTCAATCAGCCCTTCCACATATGATGTCTCTCTCCAAGTATGATGGTCCCTCCTTGCAACATACCCAAAGTACATCAGACAGAGCTTCAAAATCCTTGCCTCCAAGGAGCAGTCTGCTTTCACCCTCTCCAGGATGAACCTGTTTGTTCTCTTAGCAATTTATGGTATATTCAATACTCTTCTCCAGCACAATTCAAAGGTGTCAATTCTTCTTATATTATCCTTATTGTTTGTCCAGCTCTCTGACGCATAGCAAGTAATTTCGAGGACCATGGCCTGGTGCATCTTAGTCTCTAGACTAACATCACTGCTCTTCAGTACTCTAGAGAGGTCCCTGACAATAGATTTTTCCAATGCAATTAACCTTTTTATTTCCTGAATAAAGAGTGTTGATTGTGGAGCCATGCAAGCTGAAGCTGTTAATAATCTCAATAATTTCACCCTCTATCATGATGCTGCCAATAATTGGCCCAGTAGTGAAAATCTTTATTTTCTTGATGTTGAGCTTCAACCCACATTTAAGGCTACAGTCCTTGACCTTCTACATCAAATGCCTCAGATCCTTCTGAGTTTCAGCAAGCAATGTTGTGTCATCTGCAAAATACATATTGTTGATGAAACTTCCTCCAGTCTTGAAGTCACATTCCTCCTCATAGAGCCAGCCTCCCCCATGTAGGTTGAAAAGATATAAGTTTGGAAATAGGATGCATTTCTGGTATACACCTTTCCTGATTTTGAAGCATGCAGTGTTTCCTTGCTCTGTTCTAATGACTGTGTCCTGGTCCAAGTATAGATTTTGCATAAAGCATAATCAAATGTTTCAAAATTCCCATTCTTTTTTCTTTTCAGAGTCATCAATAGTTTTTTGTGATCCACACAGTTAAATGCCTTTGCATAGTCAATGAAACACAGTTAGACATTCCTCTGGTAGTCTCTGCCTTCAGCTAGAATGCATTTAATATTGGCTATAATAGCCCTAGTGCCACTACCTCTTCTAAACCCAGCTTGCTCCTCTGGAAGTTCTCTGTTGATGCACTGTTCCAGACATTTTTGCATAATTTTAAGCAAGATTTTGCTTGCCTGTGATATTAATGATATTGTTTTTATAATCTCCATACTCTGTTAGGTCACTTTTTTTTTCAATGAGAATAAATATGGATCACTTTCAGTAAGCTGGTCAGGTTGTTGTCCTCCAGATTTCTTGGCACAGCCTGGTGTGTGTGCTCATGGTAGCATCTGTTGAAATGTGTCAATTGGTAGTCCATCAATTCCTGGGGCCTTATTTTTTGCCAATTCCTTCAGAGCAGCTTGAACTTCCTCCTTCATTACCATAGGCTCTTGATCATATATTGTTTCAAGAAATCCTTATGTGTCAACCAATTCTCTTTGGTGTAACAATTCTGTGTACTCCATCTTCTTTTGATGTTTCCTGGGTCATTCAGCATTCTGCCCACAACATCCCTAAGTATTGCAACTCAAGGTTCTAATTTGTTCTTCAGTTCCCTGAGTATACGAAATGTTGAGCTAATTCATCCCTTTGGATTTTCCAACTCCAGCTCTCTGCACATTTCATTATAAGACTTTGCTTTGTCTTCTAGTGCTACCCTTTGAAATCTTCTGTTAAGCTCCTTAACATCTTTACTTTGCTTTGGCTTTTCAGTGCAATAGTGCAATATTCATATTTTCTTTAGGAAATATGGATTTGGTGACAGAAATGAGGCTGTAGGCAGCATGATAGAATTCCGTACTATCAGTGGATTTATTTATTGCAAATAACTTTTATAAGAAACACAAATGGCAACTATACACATGGACTTTACTTACCTGACAGCCTATACAGGAATCCAATTCATTATGTATGTGGGAAAAATCATTGAAGAAGTTCAATATCACCTGTGAAAACTAGGCCATGTGCTGATTGTGGATCAAATAATCAACTATTCATATGCAATTTTAAACGGAAGTTAAATTAAATCTGCAAGAACCAAAGTTTGGCCTTGAGTCTATCCCTCCTGAATTTAAATACCGTATCAGGAACAGTTTTGAGGCCTTGAATACTAATGAGCAAAGACCAGATGAGCTGTGGGAGGATATCAAGAATATCATCCATGAAGAATGCAAAAGGTCATTACAAAGATGGAGAAAGTAGAAAAGACCAAAATGGATGTCAGAAGAAGTGCCCCCCATATGTTAAATTACTTGTTTCATTCTTCTGTAAATACTGATGAAGACGAGAGCCACATCTCCAGTGTTGTCATGACATTCAAAAGTAAAGATGCTTGCCATAGAGTTAGAGCTGAATCAGTTTAAATTGAATAAAATAAAACTAAATGTATTAAAATGGTAATTGTCAGTGAAATTACATGCACAATGATTACTTGTTATGGAGCTCAGTAAAAATTAAAAACTAAGTACAACTTCCTTAGAAAATGACAATAGCTTTTCAGTCTAATGAGTCCTGGTGGAATATTAGATTAAATTCAGTACAACTAACTGAAGTGTTGAAGTCCATACATACCAACCACTCCATAGTAGAAAGATGTAGTCTCCTCCCAAAATGTATAACTTTGAAATGGAGGGTCACCATGAGTCTGAATCAGCTTGAAGCAGTGGGTTTGATCTCAGTTGGTAGAAAGAAAGATAGAGAAATGTTTTCTACTGGCGGGGGCAGGAGAGGTGGGGGGAAGTGCGGGGAGGAAAAAGTTATTATAAGATGAAGCATTGAGGCCAGACACAACATAAAAGCTTCGGAGTCTACAATTTGTCAAAGAAGCTACTTAGGAATAAGAGATTTTACAGGAAACTTTAATAATGGGCATCATTTGGCCAAGTGTTTTACATCAAGGGAACCCTCATAAGAACTCACAGATTTTCTTTTCAAAGGTGTAAGGAACAAGAAGGCACAAAGGTGATGATGGCTCTTCTCTGCTGATGGATAAACTTTGGGGAAGAGTGATTGGTTTATGTGTGGATAAAAGCTTTTCTAAACTGAAGCTCAGGTTTCCTGTGTGTGAAGTTAGGAAAATCTCCTCTTTCCTCATCTAATGCAATGATCTCTGTTCTTTTGCAGATATTAATGAATGCAAAAATCTAATGGACCCTCCTTGCCATCCCTCTGCTCAATGTAAGAACACCAAAGGCAGCTTCCAGTGTCTCTGTACTGACCCATACGTACTAGGAGAAGATGAAAGAACTTGCATAGGTAAGGTCATATCTCTCTTTTTAAATTAAAAAAAAATGTATATTTTATTAATTTTAGTGAACATGTACAGAGATTTTGGATTTCCATTCATTCATTGTTGCAATTTTCTCCCTGCCCAACCCCCCACAAGTTCACTCTCTTCGAAAAGCACAACTCCTTCATTGGTATACAATCCCCCCTCCCCGCACTGCCCCAAGTTCACTCCACTCTGTGACCTTAATTCTGGACTCTTGTGATAACCATAATACCCTATCATATAATGCTTTTAAACTGTTCTCTCCCTCATCTGTTTCAATGCAGTATACATAATTTATCCGGTTTTTCTCAGTCTTACCCCAACCCTGATGTCAGTCCCATTTGACAACAGTGGCACTATGCAATATTTGTCCTTTTGTGACTGAGATATTTTACTCAGCATAATATCCTCCAGAGTCACCCATTTTGAGTAATATTGCATGAGTTCCTTGTTTTTCAATGCAGCATAGTATTCTATTGTGTGAATACAACACAGCTTCTCTATCCATTCGTTTGTTGATGGGCACTTAGGTTGTGTCTAAATCCTTGCTATTGTGAACTTTTGCACAAGAAGATAAACTTTCTAATAAAAATTTTAATAATATTCTCAATTTAGTTATCTGTTAGTTACCATCTTGGTTTTAGGTAAAAGCACTACAGATGATTATCCCAAAATAGTAAATGACTGGAGATTGTTCTTTAAAATATAAGTAGGCATACAATTACGCTTTTTAACTACGAAAATTCCTCATAATTAGATCAATAAACAACACTATTGTAAACAGGCGAAAAGCTTGATATTTTCCAGGATTTTATTTTACTTGAACCCATAATTAACCATGGAAGTAACAGTCAAGAATCAAATGAAGAACTTTGGCAACCTTGGTACTAAGAACTTCTTTAAAATGTCAATAAGCAAGGATGCCATTGTGAAGACAAAGATGTATCTGGGAAGGGGGGAAAAGATGTATCTGACCCTGACAATGGTCAGCTATTCAACTGAACATTCAATTGCCTTTTTGGCATGTGAAAGCTAAGTAATATATAAGAGAGACCAAAGAATAATTAATGTTTTTGAATTCCAGTGTTGTCAAAAAAATACGGTTTGTACTATAGACTTACAGAATAAAGAATGAATCTATCTTGAAAGAAGCACAATGAATATATGCTCATTAGAAGTAAAGTTGTTGAGACTTGGCATCCTATACTCTTTTGAAAAGTGACTAGGTCCCTGGTGAATTACTAGTTGAGAGTCAGAAGGGTACGAGGAAGGAGAAAGAGAGTCAAGAAAATACCTGACACAGTGTTTGCAACACTAGGCTTCATCATAGCAACAATTTTGTTGGAGTGGTACAGGACTATTTTCTAAGTCAGAAATTATTTGAGGGACCTAACAAAAGCAACACTAATATGGCTTTTTGTTTTACTTTTGCCCTCAAGTCAGAACTGACTCATAGCTGACCCTCCAACATATTTTTCAGAGGCAGTAAACCATATGGAAGGAGATTGCTCATCCTCCTGTGGAACAGCTAGTGGATTTGAAGCACGTACTGTTTTGAGATTGTAGCAGAGCTTCTTAACACTAGACCATCTGCTAATCCATAGGTATGAGGTTTGAATCCACTGACTGCTAGATGAACAATCACATCCCTTGTGATGTATTACCTCTGAAAACTCACCGGATCACTTATGGATTGGTTCCAACATGATTGTGCATAACCAACCAACCATGCTAATATGGATCATTATAACAATTTTCTTAAGCTGTTGCTTCTTGTTCATAGATTCCATTGAGTCAAGTTTAACTCATAGCAACCCTATGAACAAGATAACAAAAACCAGGCATAGTCTGTGCCACCATCACAATCTTTGTCACTCTTGATCTTATTACTGCAGCTACTGTGTCAATCCATCTGGTTTGAGGGTCTTTCTCTCTTTCCTGACCTTCAACATATTCAGGCATGACATCCCTCTTTAAGGAATAGCCTCTTCCAGCAACATGCCCAAAGTATGTGAGATGAAGCTTTGTCATCCTTACTTCCAAGGAGCATTCTGGCTGCACCTTCTTCAAGACCTACCTGTTATGTTGGCAGTCCATGGGATTTTCAGTATTCTTCACCAAAACTTCAGTTAAAAGGCATCAATTCTTCTTCTGTCATCCGTATTCATTGTCCAGCTTTCAAATGCAAGGCAAGGGATTGAAAAGACTACGGTCATCTAAATCAGACACACTGTAGTTTTAAAAACTGTATCATTGCTCTTCAGTAGTTTGAAGAGCTCCTTGACAGCAGACTTGTCCAAAGCAGTTGTTTATGTGCACTGTCAAGTTAACGGGTTTTCAGAGATAGTTAATCACACAAGAGGAGATTGTCCATGCTTCTCCCACAGAGCAAGTGGTGGCCTCAAACCAAATGTCCCTTTAGGATTGCAGCACTTAAACACAGCTTCTTGCAACTTAGGCTACTTCTGCTTCCTTATCCAAAGCAGTACATCCTCGGACTGCTGGTACCAAGGATATTGAGTGTAGATCTAAGTAAGATGAAATTGTTGGCAACTTTAATCTTTTCTCCATCTATCATTTTCTTGCTTATTGATCCAGTGGTGAAGACTTTTGTCTTCTTGATTTTGAGATTCAAACCATATTGAAGGCCATAGTCTTTGACCTTTTGCAGCAAACGTTTCAAATCCTCCTCACTTTCTTATGCTGAGTGGTGGTTAAAAGTCAACCAGAAAGATGCAAATCAAAACCACAATGTGGTACTGTCTCACTCCAGTAAGAGTGGCAAAGTTTAACAGGGCAGTAAGTAATAAATGTTGGAGCGAATATGGTGAGAAAGGAACTCTTATACATTGTTGGTGTGACTGTAAAATGGTACAACTATTTTGGAAGTCGGTTGGCATTTCCTTAAAAACTGAACATAGAAATTCCACATGACCCAGCTATTCCACTACTTGGAATATACTCTAGGAAAATGAGAACTGTGATGTGTACACCAATGTTCATAGCAGCATTATTCACCATTACAAGAACATGGAAACAGCCCAAATGTCCAATCACAAATGAATAGATTGAGAAATGATGGTACATTCACATAACAGAATACTATGCAACACGAAGGAACAGTGATTTTGTAAATTATTACCTAACTTGAAAGGGACTAGAAAGCATTATGCTCAGTGAACTAACTCAGTCCAAGGATAAATATTGTTTACAACCATTATTGTAGAAAGAGTATAAATAAGGACCCAAGAAGGGTGGGAGAGGTTGCAAGCAGAGGGGTGAGGATGTGCAAGTGGAGAGAGGGATTAATTGTGGGGTTGTACAATTTGATGGGTAGGGAGTAAGGGAAATTGAAAAGACTTGTTCTTGAAAACAGTGTATTTACATTTTATAAATAAACGAGTAGAAAATTTTTAAAAAAGAAGAAATTTTCCCCCCATATTAAGCCCATAATCTACATGCCAAAGTCTGGATTATGTTTAGAAACAAAATTATTGTGAAACACTCAAAATTCAAAAGGAATTACATCTTGAGAATATTGTATTGCTGGAAATAGCTCAATTTCAGAAGAACCACTTTTGTATGACCTGATCTCCATGAAATATGAAGATTAAACAGAAGTGGCATCCACTTACTTGAAAACCTGCCTCCAGAAACTCTATGAACTTTGATAAGTGTTGATGATTGTAGAGGGGCTTCAGACCTTTTCTTCATCGGGTCACTATGAGTAGTGGTCAACTTGAATGCAATGAACAACAACAATAATAACAAGCAAATGTTTGGAGTATAATGTTCACTAGTGGTTACCAGGGACAGGAAAGATAAGGAAAAGAGGAATCATTGCATAGGAAGCAGTTACTGGTTATAGTGATAAAAAAAAAATCAACATGACTATAGGTAATAGTTGTAATGACTATGGACAGTGTAAACCATCAAGCTCAACTACTAGCCAAAAAAACTGGTAGTTTAAATTTGGTCTGTTTTTGAAAGATTGAAGTCTTAAAACCCATATGTTGTTGTTGTTAGGGGTTGATGTGTAGAGGATAATTTATCATGGCTCTGTGAACAATGGATCTCACCTTGCCCTATCTTGTGCCATATTCATCATCTCTGATATACTTAAGCCCACTGGTTTAGTCTCTATGTCAATCGATCTCATTGAGGGTTTTCCTCTTTTTTTTTTTTTTTTTACCTTTCCAAGCATGATGCCTTTTTTCCAAGTCTCAGGCCATTCTAACAATATGCCCATAATATGTGACATGAAGTTCACCATCCTTGCCTTCAAGGAATACTCTGGTTGCACTTTCTACAAGATATATTTGTTATTCTCTTAACAGTCTATGGGACATTCAGTACTCTTCCCCAACATCATAACTCAATGATATTTGGTTCTTCTTCTGTCATCCGTAGTCATTGTCCAACTCTCAGATGCGTAAAAATTAAATAATTAAAAAGACCACTGCTTTAATAAAATGGATTTTGGTCTTTAAACTGACATCATTGTTCCTTATTTGTTGATTCAACTTTTCTCAACTGTACAATTTAGTGATATAATTTAATCACGCTTTTCAAAGATCACTCATGTTGTTATTTGTTGTCCACTCAGTTCCTACTTAAAGAAACCTATGTGTGAAGGGTATATTTTCTCTACATGAGTTTTATATCTAAAATCAATGACTAATGCAGGGTCAGATATGAGTTGTTTCAGACTTGATGGCAATGATTAATGAGGTGGCAAGAAGCTGTGCTGCAATCCTACAGGCACAAGTTCGAGACCACCAGCTGCTCTGTGGGAGAAAGATGGGAAATCTCCTCTCATAGATAGGTTTAGACTCTAGGGCACACAGCAACACACAAGGTAAATTATCACAAAGCAGAGATACATGTTACAACAGTATCTTTAGGAAGAAGAATTGGCCTACTTAGGATGTTTAAGAGAAAATTTCATGAAGAATTGAGTCTTGAGCTGAAAGTTGAGCCTCAT